AATGATGCTGGGGACAATACTACCTACCTCAGAGGTGTATTCAACATGTAATGAGAATTTACAGCCCCAATTTATCTGGTAGCTTTTGTTCATCTCCCTTGATTCTTTGTTCTTTTTTTTTTTTGGTACTGAGAATCAAACTCAGGACCTTGCACTTGCCAGGCAGACGGTATACCGCTGAGCTACATTCCCGGCCCTGTCCATTTCAATTTGTAACTTCATACAGATGCCCCCCTCAAACTTTCCAACTACATGCTCATGAACATGAAAGTATAAGAAAGGATTATGTGTCAAAGAGTATTTAATACATGTGAATATAATCTTTGTAAATGGAAAGGCTCAAAGATGACACTACTGCATAAAGTATTTCACTGAGCAAACTGGATGAAGAGAGCTGACTCAAGATCCAGTCCTGTGGCTAATACACTGCAGAACCTAGACAGGTGGCTTCACTCTCCCAGAAAACTCCATCTGCAAAGTTAACTAAACAGTGCTCCAGGTACAGTGGGCCCCACAGAACCCATCCAGACTAGACTGTTTCTGCAGTTCTAAAGTTTCTTCCAGCTAGAATTGTCAATCATTAGCATCACAAAACTATGATGTCTGAGCATTCACTGTGTGCCAGGCCTTATCCTAAGCACATCAGATGTAGTAAATCATTTAATCCTACTTCGAACCTCTCAGAGGTGGTCTATTCTTCCCATCTGAGCAATCTAAAGGAACTGGCCTAAGGCTACGGAACACACAGGAGGGGTGAGGGTTCAAGCCCAGGGGGTCTGGCTACACCTATGTTTTTAATCACTGTTCCTCCAAAAAATCTAAGAATCTAAGAGTGGGCCTTACAGACATGTAAAAGAAATTCTGTTTATGCTATTTCTTCCTAAGCCTAAATGTAGCTGATATATAATCTGTGGAGGGAAAGAACATGACTAATATGTTAACAGTAGCCTGAGCAAGCTACTGAGCAAGCCATAGTTCATTACACAAAGTTATAAAGTAGCAACTTAATTAAGATCAAGCTACAAAATGTGTATTTTGTTTCTCAAACATTTCATCAAAATTAGTGTTCTGCGGTTTTAACATTAACATACTTCCTTGGTTCTCCACAATTTATCTGCAGGATAATGCTCCCAAAGAAGAATCACCATATAAAATTAACCCGCCACTAAACACTGGTTAACTAGATTTTGTCTTTGTAATACACATATGGAAATATATATATACATAAACAAGGAAACATAAACCTACAAGTTAAATCACCATATTCTAAGTACCTAAATCTCAAACTAGACACAGTGTATTAAGGATCATACAACTAGATATGTGCCAACAAAAATGGCAGGGCAGGCTTTATTTCCCTCCTTCCTGGTCCCTTCACACTTGACTGACCTCTGGTAATTCTCTACATGCCATTCTCCCTTCCTCTGCTGGCTTAACTTCGCACCTGCTATAAACCACAATTCTGTCCCACCTTTGCCCTTTTTGTTTCAAAAGAAAAGTTAAAAGCACAGCAAGACTAGGAATCTCTGTGAGATTAGGGAGTTCTATGAGACAAATGACACAGTGGAGGTACATGCACGCGCACGCATGCACACACACACACACACAAAATGCTGATGGCAGTAAGTTAACCTTCTGCCACCCACTACCACAATAACTCTTCTCATGATCCTTGGAAGGCCTGAGAAACAAAAGCAGAACATTTATCATTTTATTCCTAGACCAAACTACTCTATAAACGGTGGTTATGGGAATATCTGCCTCACCATGTTCTCTTCCAGATTCTGGAACTGATACAGTTCCACAGTCATTAAGAGCACACAAAGAAATTCCACACAGTTCAATTGCTTCTTTAATGGAGGAAGACTCCAATACTAGTCTTTTCTCCAAGAAAAGCCCAAAAACAGATTGATAACTAAACCGGGCAATTATTTTTTGCTTCATCTATAGTCATAAAAATACAAAATCTTTATGTGTCAATAATTAAAATAATACTTTTGAATTAAATCTGGCCCCCAAGTTCATAGATATTTCATCTTGTTTTTCATAATTTATCACATGGTAAAATTTTATCAACCAAAATTTTGCCCTTATCCATACTAATCCAACTATCATTTCCCTACTTCTGTAAAAGCCAAGGAAATCCACAGAATCAAACTCCTAACTAAAATGAGCCATGACAAAGAGACAAAGGTAACCAAAAGATAATACCTGAAATGAAATTCTGTCCTAATATATGATTTTATTTTATTTTTTTGGCGGTGAGCGAGACAGAGGTGGTGGGGTGGTGGTGGTGTACTGGTTGGACATGTGTCTCTTTGTGTGTCTATTATTATTGCATACAGCAAAAAATGTTATTAAGCAATAATCCATCTCCTGAAATAAAGGTTCTTGGGAAAGTATGGCAGTAGCTACAGAAGCCTTTAATCTCACAAAAAGTGACAGAAAGAAAAACCTTTAGTAACATTCCACAGTAACAAAGATGCTATGTGATATACACACTTGCAATATACAAACAAAGTTAAAGTCAAGGCCAAATTATAAAGCCAAACTGTGCATTTAACCTGGGCTGTTATTTTTTATATTAGCTTTATGAAAACTTACATAGTGTAACTCTGCATCTCACTTTATATGCTATTAGAAACAAAATTTTTACTAATATATATTAGAATATAAAAAACAAAGAGAAAATTAATTTAATATGAGGATCTATGGTCTAAGATACTAATGAACTAAAGAGAGCTGCTTTGAAATACAAAAATAAAAAGCCCCCTTTGTAATTGTAGCAAATCTCCTCATAGCAAATTCTATATTTTGTTAATGAAATGCCAATTACAAAAATACATCCAGCCTGAGTTTTTTGTATGGATGCCCCTAGTGTGAAGACTGTTTTTGAGGAGTGAAGGGTGGGCAGGGGCACTGCCTGTCACTGTGCGGGAGACTGCACACCAGTCCTGAAAGTAATCTTTCACAGTGCGCTTCTGAAAGTACATCCACACACACATACATCCCATACTTTAGGATCACATGCATCCCACCAAGTAGTTAAAAACTATTCAAGCCTGGGGTAGTGACTGACACACACCTGTAATCTCAGACGGCGGAGGCAGGAACACTGAAAGTTGGAGGCCAGCCTGGGCAACCTGCCTCAAAATTTAAAAGGCTGAAGATGCAGCTTAGCTAGTATGTACAAGACCCTGGGTTCAATCCTAATACTATTTTTTCAAAAAAATCAATAAACAATAGGATCTTACAGAGAAGTTAATAAATATTCTTCAAACAAGAAGCCTAAAGGCTTTTTCTAAAGAAAAAGTTCTGCACATGTGTAACCCCAGCACTTGGAAGGTTGAGGTAGAAGGATGAAGAGTTCAGAGACTACACAATGAGTTCAATGCCAACCTAGACCACACGATGAGACCCTGTATCAACAACACAAAAATCAGGTTTATCCAGGCTAAGCACATACCTCAGTGGCAGAGAGCCCTTGCTTAGCAAGTGCATGAGGCCCTGGGTTCACTCTCCAGGACCAGGGAAAAACAAGGAAAAAAAAAGTTTTGTCCACGGTGGCAATTACTAAACATGACTACTGCATTTCATTTGAGGTAAATGATGTAACCTTTTCAGAGAAAAACCAATACCTTTAAGAAGGTTTCCTTTGCTTGGGCAAAATTTTTTAAAAAATCTTTTATAAAGATATTTAAGGACAAAAATGCTTACAAAAGAAGTATATGTATATAAAGGCATATAGCATATTTCTTCATATAAAGAAAATACACACAGAAAGACTGATAAGGAAATCAGCAAAAATGTTAACAGCAACCAAATCTGAATGGTATTAACATGGGCAGGGCGTGGTAGCCCACGCCTGTAATCCCAGCCCTGGGGAGGCTGAGGCAGGAGGATCGTTGGGAGTTCCAGGCCAGCCTGGGTTACAAAGTGACAGCCTGAACTGCACGGGAGACCCTGTCTCAAGGGGGAAAAAAAAAGAGATTAAGAAGATCATTAAAAATCTCCAGTACTTTCCGTGTTTTCTAAGCTTTTGCAAAGATCATACTTTACTCTGATAAACAAGTTTTTAAAACTGAAAAAAGTTGGTATTCACTTGTCATACACACAAAAACAACTATCTGAGTGCTTATGAAGGCAACACAGCTTCTAAGCTGCTTCTACAGGTCACATATTGTAGACTTCAAACGCAGGTACTAATTATTTGCCACTAACTTCAAAAAACTACAAAGTAGAGCAAAAAAACTTTCACTTGTGACTGTCCTTTATAGATTTTCATAACTAAGACCTAATATAGTGATTACATCTTTCTAGAGCAAGGTCTATGCCCAACTTTTTATCCTGTAACATTAACTTTCATTTAAAGAATCAATTCAGATCAACACAAACACCACATCAAAGACGTAATTTAGGTTTAACTTAGTAATTCCAGAGTGTAGACACCTAATACATTGTACAAGAAGTTCTGATTCATTCTAGGGAACTCACGAACAGAAACACCTATGGGTGCAGATGAGCTGACTTAGACATTGTCCCATGACCTCGTAAAAGCCTAACGTCTCATGAAGCTTTCTGCAAAAGGTACGTTGCCTGGACATGGATTTATTCAAATATCCCGGAAGCTGTCAAAATCGATCTCAAACTACATACGTTCAAAGGACAGAGTATCAACTACTGACCGGGGACTACTCTCCTTTAATACACCCTAGCCTACACTTCCGCGCTCACAAGTCACCGAGAGATCCGCTGTAGGTTTCCTTAGAAATCGCTCACACAGTTTTCTCCTACAGCCTTCAAAAATCTGGTCCCAAATACCTCTTTGGCCCATCCCACCCCATCATGACTCTCGACAATAAACGGAGAGACCCACGATGTCTAAGCTATGCCTTTGTTTGTACCTCTGTCCTCCAGCTCTGCTCCACAGTCTCCTCTGCAACCCTCCTCCTCGCCTAAATCCGACCTGGCCTTCAAGACCCTTTATAGCACCGCCTCACCCAGGAAGTCTTCCAGATTTCTGCCGAGGCGGAAGCGATCGACCGGTCGGGTCTTTCCCAGGTACCTCTCTTACACTCTGCAGTTCACAGGACTCCTCACCTCCTTCCTGGTACCGCGGCTATTTGTGTACTCGTCTTATCTCCCACACCAGAGGGACCGTAAGCTCCCGGAGGAGGCACCGCGGGGCCGGGTTCACCTCTGAGTCCCCGCGGCGCGGACCGACTCCGGCGCCCGCACGCACGCAGCGCTCGGGCTGCTTCCCCCGAACTCGGAACGCGCCGACCGCACAATCCCTAAGCACAGACCAGTTAGGCGTTTTCCCGACATGACGCCCAGGGACGTGCGACCCGCACGGGAAGCCTCCCCGGCCCGGGAACGAGGCGCGGGGAGCGCAGGGCGCGGCGGGAGTGACAGCGGCGGGCCGCACTTCCCGGCCCTCCCGAC